GGACGACACACATGTAGGATGGGGGCGAGGGGGGGACACGATGGGGTGGGGGGTGACCCACAGGGATGGGAGAGAGCTGCGGGGAAAGGGAGGGCACCCAACAGGAGGGGAGGGGGGGTGGTTGGGTGTCCCCCCCCCCTTTCTCCCCGCTCAGGGATGGAGCCCCTTCCCTCTCCCTGTGTCCCCCCCCCAAGATCTGGGTCCCTTGCCCTGTCCCCATCTGTCCCCCTCGGAGCTGGTGTGTTTTGGGGCTTTGTGTCCCAGCCCCGCTCCCATCTCCTTCTGCCCCATTAACCCCCGGCACGAGTCCCGGCCACAAAAGGGGCTGCAACCTGATCCGGCCTTGATTGAATCCCTATTGTTCTCCCGGCTAATTCCCCCTTGTCCTCCCTTCCCCGCCACGGGCAGGGGAGGCCTGAGGGGGTGTGTTGGGGAGGGGGCTGCCTCTTAATTGCTTTAAAACTAACTGCCCGGCCCGAGGAACCCGCAGCAGGTTGGGAAAGGGGCTCCCCAGTCCCTGGGAAATAAATGCTTTTAATTTCAAGTTGATTTCCCGGGAAAAACCGCTGCCCACCCTCATCCCAGGGAGGATGTCAGGAGGAATCGCAGGGCTTTTAAATAGGGGGATTAAGGAAAGTGGTCACTTTTGACTCAGTAGGAAAAAATCCCTCCATGACGGTAATGAAAGCCTGGATGATATAAGTATCTTCTGGTTCACAATAGCAATTAATATGGTAATATTCTACTATTAAAGATGCTAACATTAAGATGGAACTCGTCCGCGGTTAAAACATTTAATAGAGGGGAAAATGCATTCCTTGAGCATCAGGTAACAAAGTCAAACGGAGAAGGGGGGGGAGTGAAACTCTCTTAAAATAACAAAGGCCTCTATATAATTTGGAAAGGCTTTTAATACTCCCTTCCTCCTCAAGAAAAACTTGAGGTGGTTTGAGAAGCGGGAAGGAGCTGGTGCTGGATGGGGAGAGTTGTCCTCACGGGAGCCCGACCCCAGGCCTGTTTGGAGACCAAATGCCACAGGGGCCACCTGCAAAGACCTGCTGGTGGCCCACAAGGAGCCTGAGCTGAAACAAAGGTATCGAAGCACCACAGTACCCCAGAAACATGGGGGCTGGAAGGAGGGGCTGGAGGGCTCTGGCCAAACCTCTGCTCCTGAAGCACCACAGTACCCCAGAAACATGGAGGCTGGAGGGCTCTGGCCAAACCTCTGCTCCAGGTAAGGCCAAGTTCAAAGTCAAACCAGGCTGCCCATGGCTCTGGGTGGTGGAGCTGAGCATCCCCTGAGGATGGAGGCCCCAGGACCTCTCTGAGCTCTGTCCTGGTGCCTCACCGTGTACATCCTGGTTTGTTTTCCCAAATGTTGTGAGTTGCTTGCACCACTTAGGTCCCTCCATGCACTCCCTGGTTTGCCCTGGGGTGCCCAGTCCCACGCCAACACCCCAGGTCATGGCTGTGTCGTGGGGCACGGCAAAGTCTTTGGTTACTGCTGCAGAAGAAGGAAGGGTTCAGACCTGCTCATCTCTGCCCTGTGAATCCACTTGGTATGATCTATTTGCCAAGCAGAGGATAGATACAATCACACAAAAATACTCTCTTGGCAGAGTTTTTTAAGTATCAAACGATTTGGGAGAAAATTAGAAAGTACTTATTTCAACTACAGCTTTTATTATTGTAAAAGACTTTTCCTTTTTTTTTCCCATTTGTTTTCAATTAAAAATCCTTGCTTTTATTATTGTAAAAGACTTCCTTTTTTTTTTCCCATTTGTTTTCAATTAAAAACAGTCAGGATTTAGGTTTTTGCTTTTTCACTAGAATAAAAGTAATTTGCAGAGATAATAGTGTTGTGGGGATGGGAGGGCCTTTCAGCTGATCACTAGAAGCAGCAAATATTTACCAGCTGGCTGCGATGACGAGTTGGAGACGGATGTGGAGAGCATGGTCTTCATCCTGCCCACAGCTCTGCTGACTTCATCAAATCGGACCATCTTCATTCTACAGTTACTTTTTTCTCTAAAATGTTGCACTCCTGGGAAGAAAAAAAAGAAATTGTCTTCTGAAGCTGGCACTTCTGCATAGTTTATTTAAAAGAAATTCTGCTTGGCTGATCCCAAGGATTCACGAGGTAATTCAGGCTCCCATCTGAGCAGCTGCCTCAGGTTCCCTGCTCCAAGCTTCTTCCCTCCTTCTCTCTTGGTACAAGAAAGTTGCTCACACAAAGCCGTGTGGGGGTAAATCCTCTGCTAAATTCGCAGCTGAATCACAGCTGTGCATCACGGGGAGACATGAATCATCGCCCTTTCACCAAAACTGGAGCAGACGGAAAGGAAAATGAATGGTTCAATGAGGGGCTGATGCCAGGAGAAGTTCTGCTGCCCCGTGCTGGAGGCTACACCTCTGTGTGAGCTGCTGAGGATACTCCAGAGCCTACACCGAACGGATCAAGCCAGATTACCAAAAACTTCATGTTTAACTTCAGCTCGTTCTGATGAAGCTGATTAGGGAGCAACCACAGAAGCCAAGAGCGGGCAGGTCTGGCAGGGACCATGGGTGGTGCAGGTGAGTGTAGGCACACAACCTCTTCAATGGGGCTCGTGCCTTTCCCCTTTTTCCCCTGAAAAATTTCCTCTTGACATGCTCAAAATAGGCTCCGTTGCAAATAATAATGCAGTGATGACATGGCACGGAGCGGTGGATCTAAAGAGAATACTAACGACTGAGAACAAATTATTAATAAACCCCACTCTTTAATCTTCTTTGTTTTTTTTCTTCACCGTCTGCTGTTATTTTGATAGTAAAATTGAAGACATCAAGGAAAATGGGGACCCTCCAAACTGCTGCTCAGCTGTGGTCAGTAGGATGGGACCCAGGAGGCAGCCTGCCCTGTGACTGTCCCCTCTCTGCTGCCAGAGGTGGGTAAAGGTGACTCTTGGGGTCATCTCCCACCCTTGTCCCCTCATCTAGTCCCTACACAGCATCTCCTGGTGGAGCCCATCCCACCACACACAGAGGGGCTCAGCCCCACAGCCGAGGGGGCTTCGTCAGCGAGTGCCACGGAACCAACTGTAAGGCAGATAAAAAAGTCAGAACAGGGAAAAAAAAAGCTACTGAAACTGAGCAGTGGGTGACACTGTGAGAGGAAGAAAAAGCCTCAAACTTTAAAGGCGGTATTAAAACGGGGCATGCAGAAAGTGAAGTCAATTAGGCAAAAGAATCGTTTGCCGACGGAGGTCGCCGGGCCGAATTCCTAAAAGGATTCATGAATCGACTAAAAATACCCTTGGGATAGTTTGAGCACGGACTGAGTTACTGAAGGGCAATGCCCCAGATGACCCAGGAGACCCTTTCCAATCCTACAGTATAAACAATGACGCTATTAACATTTGTACTAAGTACCTGCGCCGGCTCCTCGCCTGCCACCGCCGCGGCGGCTCCCACCCCCAGCAGGAGCGGGGGCTGCGAGACGTGCTCCTCAGCCCAGAGAGCATCCTTTAGGTACCCAGGAATGGCTCTGGTTTCTTATCCCTAAAACCACCCCCGTAGACAGGGAATTACGGAAAACCCTCTTGACAATGGCAGGAGCGGTGAGAGGCCAAAAAGATCAGTGGAAAAGGCTTGATGGCAACCCTGCAGCACTGAAAAGAACAACAGGAAGGCTGGAGAGAATCACCAGCAAGGGGAGAGACACAGGGCAGGGAGATCTTGATGGCCAAGTCATGCTGAGGAGGCACTCGAGGGGCTCAGGGCAACGGGGACAACCTGGGGAATTTGTGGGCGTGTATTATAATTGTAGAAACAAAGGCAACTGCGTCTGAGAGGACCCAAAAAAGCCAGATGGAGTTTGGATACCACATGAGGAAAGGCAGCAGGATCGTGAGACCCACCAAGATGCTCCAGGTGACCTTTGCCATTGGGTTGTGCCGTCCCACCGGGGAGGAGTTACCGGTGTACGGAGCCCACACAGACCAGGGACCAGCGACGGCGTGTTGTACAGAGTGTGGCAGGGGAAAAGCCATTTTGTCATTAACGATTTCTCTTTCCCTTATTATCCCTGCTGACTAGACCTGGCTGAAACGACACCCCACGGTGTCACCGTGGGGCACTGCCCTGGGAGATGCAGAGCACTGGTGCCCTTCGTGGAGACATGTGGGTCTGGGCTTAATGTGAAGGCAAACCTGCAGCCCTAAATCTCAAACTTGTAATTCAGGTACTGAGGATAAAAAACGAAAACAAGGTTAGATAAAAGCATTCGCTATCAAAACTTAATTATGCACCCACAGGCTGAGGCTCATTATTCATCCTCCAACCTGGAAACAAATTAGTCTAATGAAGCCATGAGTTAACAGGGAGAAAGGATGCAAAGGCTGGAGAATATTTGTGGCCCTGCTCGAGTGTCAAACCCAGCACTGAGCTCTGGGTACCACCTTTGTCACCAGCCTCAGGTGCTTCCTACACCTAGTGGTGTGTCCAGGACCGGGGTTTTGCTAAGAGTGGGTTACAGTTCCTCAGAGGTGGGAATCTGGAGCCATCAGAGACCGGTGAGATGTGGGGACTCATCAGGACCAGGGGTGGTCTGAAGCCATGGATCTAAAGAAACCCAAACACCAGCTGCCTCCGAGTCAACCCAACGAGAGGGACATATTTAGTTCTGGCAGAAGGCTCCTGCCGACAGCCAGCACAGCCCCACGGAGAGTTTGGCTCCAGTGTCCTCTAGTAAATTGTGGCACCAAATCCCAGGGGCTGGGAAGAAAAGAAAGCGATAACTAACTACAGTGGGATGGCAGCTCTCTGCGGGTTTATTGTGCAAGCAGTTAAGAAGCTGAAGACTATAATTAAACTGCCCGGGAATGTCTAATCACAGCAAGGAAGGCCTTTTGCCCTGCTCCTTCCCTGCAGAATTTGGGGAGAAATGAAATTACATCATAGCAAAGGGACTTGGCAGGCATTTAATCCAGCACTCTCTGCTGCACCCCCCCCTTGGCTTTGAACCCCTTGCTTTGGCCACCTATAGAAGTCACCCATAAAGTGTACATCCCGGTGTGAGGGGGAGAAGCCTGGGTTTGGGGGCAGTGGGGTGCCCACACACAGCACACCACGGCCAGCCCGGTGATACACAGCCCGGGTGTGAGCTCTGCAGCAGAGCACAAAAGGTTCAAGCGACCTAGTAAAGACCGTGCCAGTACCCGAGAACAAGTCCCCAAAGGCCCCTGGCTGAGCTGTTTCTCACCGCTTTATTCTCTCACTCCCATCCTAATGTGCTTAACTATAAATGACCCCTTTATTTTTTATATCTCCATTTCATTTTTCCCCTTCTTCCAGGGAAGCAGTAAAAAAGGGGAAGCCGAGAAGCAGAGCTCTTATTGTAAAGCGAGTGCTGACACGGAGCAATTCTGGGGACCCGGCAGCTCTCCTTGAACGTTTGTGTCATCACAAGGAAGATCTGGGCTTCTCCTCCAAGACCCAGGATCCTGCTCCCAGGTTCCCAGAAGAAGCCTACTGGGATGATGGCAGCAAAGGTGAGTTACATCTGCTCTGGGGGCCCTGACATCCACTGTGTGAGGCTGGGACCATATTATTTCCAGTTTTGCTGGGTGTTTTATTCCATGCTGTCCCGGGGTTCATCACAAGGATGGCAGAGTGGGGGTGAAGAAAACCCAGCTGAGCACAGCCCCCCAAACACAACCCCCCCCCGTTGGGCTCTTTGTCTCTGATATGCAGAGGCTGCTCAGCCACCCTGGGCAGAAGGACAACAGCTTGGTGTTTATTAGTATAATTTTTAAAGGTGCCTCATTGTATTTATTTGCTGTGTGGTTAAACATTTATTATTTATATTTAATTTTCCCAGACTCAAAGGGGCATCACCAGTGGCTGGGTGTCTGCAGATTCAGTGCAGCTCCTTCGCACACTTATTTATGTAACCTTGGCCTCCCCCGAGGGGCTCCCGTTTCACCATGTGCCATCGGCCTCTTAATTGGCCTCACAGATCACGCCTTCTCCTTCGGCTCACCCAGGTCCCCGCGACTCGTAATTTCTAAGATATTAAATGTGGTTGAAACAAAAGAGTTCAGTGAATTAAAGCCGGGAAGTTTCCTTATCCCTCCTGAACCTTCGCTTTCCATTCCCTCCCTGGGGCGATGGCCAGACTGGGACCATCCCAGTGGGTCTGGAGGGCTCAGAGAGGACCAGGCTGTGTCCTGGGCAGGAGCTGGACACTCTGGCTGGTGCACCCAGCCTTTGGCAAGCCTGGCTTCACACCCAGCCTCCTCCTCTTGATGAGAGTGTTTGGCACTAACGAGACTCCCAGCAACTGATTAACCTGCTGGGGATGGATAGAAGCTGTTCCCACTACAAGATCTCTCTCCTCAGGGTGCCTGTCCAGCCCCCCTGGGCTGGTGGGTGGTGGGATGGAGGAGAGCCATCCTCTGCCTCTGAGCCACCCCAAAGCCACCTCTCCTCACTGCTTTCCCAGACAACAGTTCGGGTTCCAGGCTTGTAAGGGCCGTCAGGCTGGGTCCCCCACAAGGGCGTACACTCCAGGGTCTAAAAATGCAATTTTCAGAGCCACGGAGACCAGGAATTGCCATTTTCTTTTTCCAAGAAGTAAAAGCATGTCTGGGTAATGGCTTTGGATATTTCTTTTGCAATATGTCCTCCTGCCAAGACACCCCAAGCACCTTAGGTGTGCAGTGGGGGGACACATCTGAGACAAAGATGCTGCATTTTGCCTCCAGCCTCCATCCATCCATGGTGCTTCACAAACAAATCATCCAGGGGCTTCATCCAAACGCAGACCAGCTGTTAAACTGCAGAGAATACAAATCCTGTAGCAAGGAGTTCCACATGCCAGTGATAAGGCAGAGACATCTGGAGAACTCAACCAAATGAGGCTTTCACTGAGGTGACTAATTCTCCAGGTGAAGGGGGTTGATATCCCTGGCACATTTTTGCCTGGTTGTCAGCTCTTTGGGTTGAAAAAGAAATGTCACTCCCATAGGTAGAGCTATTTCAACAGTAATGGTTTTATACCTTCTCCTTAAATATATCACAGGCTATACTTGGAGATAGAGTTTGAGAGTAAACATTGTTATGCTGGAGCTGTCATCTGTGAGTAATCACAGACCTAATTGAAGCTGGCCAGCCTATTAAATAAACATTGGGCATAAACGAAGGAGCAAAGAAATACCCTTTAGTCGGGTAATAGCGGAAATGATGGAAACCAGTGCCTGAGTCAGGGACTGGGCTTGGAGGGAGGTTTCCCCCACGTATCTCCCAGCAGCGAGAGCCGGAGAGCATCAGCCACCAGCTCTGGGAGGGAGAGTGAGGAGAGGGCTTCCAGGCCACAGCAGGGCTGGATTTTGGGGCAAGAAAACCGCAGGCAGAAGGAGCCCGGCTTTACCACATCTGGGGAAACATGACTCCCCACCATCTACTCTGAATAGCTGGGCTGCTGCTGGCAAAATGATGGAGCAGAAACTGTCCTCCCGGCATCAAATGCCGCCTGGTCACCCTGCTGAAATGGGCAATGTTGCAATCTCACAGCGTCTCTCCCCTTCCTTGGGGAACCACCTGATCCTCCTCGCTGCCTGCTGGTTTTTCCTCATCCTTGGGAATTTTTGCCTACGGACAAGGCTGTGGCTTCCCAGGGCCGAGGCGGCTCCGGCGGTCTGCTGTGGTGGCACGGGTGGCACCCAGGCACCCAGGCATCCCAGGTGGCACTCGGGGACACTCGGAAGGCAGAACAGACCCATTTTTCTCCCCCCGGTGAACCCCACAGCATCCTGCCCCTCCTCACCCTCCCACCAGATGTGGGGCGGATACGTGCCAGCGGCGCGGCCTATCCGGGAGGTGCCGAGAAGAGGGTGATGTGCCCAAGCAACACGCTCAATTGCCCTCAAAGATGGTGCAGCCACAATAACATTTTTTTTTCTTCTTCTTCTTCTTTTTCCCCTCTGATGGCGTCCATGTGTCTCCCTCCCCGTTGACTGGAGCTCTGTGGGGTGTGTGTGTGTGTGCACTGTCTGTTCCCCCGGCCCTCCCCGCCGTCCCGGGGAGGACGAGGTGCCCGGCCTTCCGTGGTTAGTTGGAGAAAAACACTCTCCCAGTGATCAGCGCCGGTACGAAGTAGATGTATGGTTTCAATTCTGTCCTTGAGCCATGGATCATTTAATGTTGTCAACACATATACATCCTTCTCAAACATCCCACTGAGGATTTCTAGGGACTGTAGACAGCTCAGAGCTAGCGGTGCAGCAGCAGCGCCTTCGTATTTGCTTTCAGATCCATGTGCATTTTTTAATACTAAAGCTTGCATAATTGCGGCTGAATTTCTAAGCAACTTCTTCCAAGGGGACAGAGGCGGGTGAGCGGTGGGAGAACTGGTGGTGGAGCGGGAGCAAGGCCTGTTGTTGGCTTCTGGTTGCGAGATGGTGCTTGAGGAGCCCTGGAGAAAGGTTGGGACCTCCCAGCGTGGTGTGTGTGTGTTTTGAGCACGTTTTCTCCCTGACAGCGGGATGCACTTGCCCAGCAGCCACCCATGTTGGGTGCCAGCATTGAGAACATTTTAGTGCTGCACATATCTTACCGGGGGACTTGCACTGACATCCTGCTTTAAAAAGCACCAGCCTCTTTTCCCTTCTTTTCTCTCTTTTTTTTTTTTTTTTTTCCCTAAGGTCTGGCTGTCCCTAGAAGCCCAGTGAGATGCTACATGCACTGAAGGTGGCCTGGCAGGTGAAAGGTCCATCCCAGGGCTGATGGAGGCAGGGCTTTAAAAGGGGAGACAAGGTGATTCCTCACTTGATGAGAAGCATCTCCTGATTGTTTCCAGCTGGTGGGAGCAGAGTTGCAGCTGGGTGGGGGCTGGTACCTTCTGGTTTTGAGTGTTAAAGTTGCTCTGCAGCTTCCCTCTGAGGTGGGAGGTCTGCTGTTCTTCCAAGGCAGTGGCATCAAGCTCTGGTTGGGGTGTTCATCCCCTCAGGGGCCAGGCTCCCCCCCAGGTGAAGGGCAGTGACCCCCTCAGGGAGTGGGTCACCCTCCTCTTTGTTGGCTGCAGGCTGCTCTCTTGGGTGCTGCTGGAAGACCTCGATAGGAGGTGGTGATGGCCATTGACTGGAAGGTGAGAACAGGAGGCTGTGGGTTTGCTGGAGAACCTGCAGCAGCCAATCACTGCTGGGAGGGATGGATGAAGAGTGGCTTCTTGTGCCTTTGGCAGTGTAGATGATGATGGCTCCCAGCAATAGGGCTTGGGGCCACAGGGCTCTGCTGCAGACATGGGAGGCAGCTCCTTCCTTCCCTCCTAAGGAAATGCATTTCTTGGAGGTGACATCAACCCGAGGTGTCCCCCTGTACCAAGGGGATGTCCCCTCTCCATCCCCTGGCCTCTGCAGGGCCCTGTGTAGCACCGCGCCAAAGGCACCTGCTCAGCCAAACTCCATTTTACTGTGTCTATGTATTTATTATATCAGAGCCCAGGGTAATTACTTTACAATTCTGAACATTAAATATCATTTGTCTTATTCCAGTAGGTCCAAATCTTCATGAATTTTATCTGATGCTCGCTCCCTTCAATTATCTGCCATCAGAAAAAGTTTACCATTGCTGCAAAAATATCAATTTGCCAGAGGTTGCAATACATTTCCTCTCCACCTCTGTAATTTACAAACTTACATTCTATGATTAGAAAGAAAAATGGCTAATAGGAGAAATATTCATGCAAAATCGATACTGAATAAGATGCTGCCACCTCTTGGCTTAACCTAATTCTACATCTGGGGCCAAATTCAACCTGGGTGTTAATTGCTTTGCTGGGAGAGGAGCTAGAGCCGCCCTGGGGGATGGAGTGGGATGGAGATGTGAAGGAGAGCCTGGGGGGGCTCTGGGCAGGGGCTGGGCTGTGAGTGGGGTGTGGGAAGTTGATGCTGTGGGGTTTGCAGGCTCCAGTAAGAGGAATTTTCCACTGCTGGGCATCTCCAACAGAAGTTTCTTGCACATCCAAAGCCAAAGTGGAGGTTCCCGGCTGCTTTTTCTCCCCCTCCAGCCACCCCGGTTCCTGGAGCTGTGTCCCAGCACAGGACCAGCCCTGGGCTGTGGGCTTGTGTCCGTGCTGGGAAAGAGGGTCTGGGATCTGAGGAGACTCAGCCCTTGGCTGAAGGCATCTAACCAGGCTTTGAACTGATTAGACAGTTCATCTGAGCTTGTTGGCACCATCCACCCCGTCTGGCCGCAGTATGGTTGGGCAGGAGGGGACACAGCGGGGCTTGTGACTCTGTCAGTCTTGGTAACTATTGAATATACTTATTCTTCAATTAGATGTCACTGCAGTGGGCCATGGAGCCCAAATACTGCTGTGCTTTCAAAAGAAAACAAAAAAGCATTTCATTTTTGTAGTAAAGATATTCCAAAGTGCCGAGTGCCACAGCAGAGCGATTGCAACGCTGCTCTGTCTCCTTGCCCAATGACACAGGGTTGGTTTTTTTTTTTTTTCCAGCTGAATACCAGTAAGCAGGTGATTAAAAGCTCT